ACCAGGCGGCATTTTACCTTTGAGAAGTAAAATTGTCTGCCATTAGCCGAGATAAATTCAATATAAATTCAATATACATGCATGACGCAGCAAATAATATGTGGAACTCCTAATTTATCAGCAAGTATCAAAATCATATTTATCAATTGGGTCGTTCGAGAAAAGATCCATATTCCCCCCAGGGAGGAAATTTCTGCTGTCCGGAGGGGGAGGGGAGAAAAAATTGTTTCTGATAATAGTAAATGCATTAGGACATCCAAAGGGGGTAGGGGGGTTAACTTCCTATATCCTCTGTGGGGGTGGTATGGATGTTTTCTGGAATGACCCTTTGGGGGGTTTGTTATTTTTGTCGGTCTGTCTCTAGTCATGCATATATAGCATACTTAATTATATAAATCCAATTAAGTTCATGGATTTAAATTTTTACACACAGTGTATGCATGTAAAATGAAATAATTGGTTCCATAATTTTAATTTAGATGATGATTTAAATGCATCTATCGAACGACGAGAGGAAGTTGATGGAGAAGTTGCTGAAATTGAGCAACACTTGCAGAATATTTCACAGGAGTATGCAAAATTAAAAACCTTAATGGACCAGAAAGGGTATGCTCGCACACGCAGACAAAATACTAAAACTACCATTGATATGATCAGTGACCGTTGTTCCAGTGTCCGCTACAGACGACGGCAAGAGACCAAGAATGTACTTGAATACATCCATGGTGGTGAGGTTGCAGCAGTACTTGGAGCTTGGGATTTTGTAACAGCCCATGCAGACAAAGAACTTATGGACGACTTGATTAGTAAGTATAAAAGGGGAAAATACTTACAAGGGGTAATCAACAAAGCCATGAACGATCACAAGCAGTCCAAGGATTCCCTAAATCAAGCACTTGCTTTTAAGTACCAGAATTTTTTGTCTCGACGTAAATTTAATTTAATGTGTAAAACACAGTCTTCTGTGTTTGATCCTGATGCTGAAGTATGGTTACCACGAAATATGAAGTGCTTAGGGGTAGATGTTGAGTTGTCGCTTAGTCGAGTGTCTGATGACAAAATTGATAAATTTGTAAAATCATTAGATATAGGTAGTATTACTCAAATTCCAAATGCACCTGGGGTCACTAGGACCATCACTGGCCTTGTATTCATGATTATTGATTTGCATTTACGATTGCCACATCTTTTTCGGCAACTTATTTGGTTCAATGAAAATACCAATCATTTCATTTTCCAGTTTTCTGATGATGGTGCCCCTGAAACAAGCCAGCTCACAATGTCAATAGGCAGTATAACATTGTGGAATTTTGGGGAAAGGGTTAGAAGTAGGGAATTTCAGTACCTACTTCATTGTGTCAGCCTTGGCGAAAAGCATGCAATGCTTGAGCTTCTTTGGAGACAACATACTGATGAGATGCAGCTACTTGAGTCCAGTGTTTTTACAGTTTGTGGGAAGGAGTGCACAGTTGAGTTTCAGCCAAGTGCTGACATGAGTTGGCAAAGTTGGGCCTGCAATGAACTGAACCAGGCAGCTACACACCCTTGTCCCTATGCAAATGTGCACAAAAATAATATGTGTATTCTAGGTGGCACAATTGGTCTTGATCACAATGATACTTGGACACCGTACACAAACGACTTGCGTGCTGAGCATACAAAGAAGGTAAATGTTTTTATTAGTTCTCTATCTATTAACATAACATTAACATAATTAAACTTATATTGCGCATATTACCATGTAGATATGTTCATATGCGCATTACATGAAAATCTAAAATTTAAATTACAGTTACTATATTATAGTTATTTACATCTAAAATCAGAGTTCACTTTATAAAAAAGTATTTCAATGTTCGAAGGCCATTCTATATAAGTAGGTTTTCAATGCCTTTTTAAATAGATTTAAATTGTCCATATTACGAATATATGCTGGCATAACGTTCCAAAGTTTTGGAGCAGCTGATTTAAATGCTCTCCCACCAAGAGTCGTCAAACATTTTCCTGTTGGTGGCAATAGTGTCAAACTTCCACATGATCTTAAACTGTACCTAGTATGCCTTCTAATGTTAATAAGATCCATTAAATATTTTGGGGCTAGTCCATGTATGCATTTAAAAGTTAACAATAAAATTTTATACTGAATCCTGTAAACAACAGGCAACCAGTGTAAGGGCGTCCAAGACGGGTGTAATGTGACTGAATCGTGAAATACCGATGACCAATCTTGCAGCATTGTTTTGAACACGTTGGAGTTTCGTCATATGAACAGCTGGAATACCGTAAAGCAATCCATTGCAGTAATCAATCTTACTTGAAATAAGTGCATGCACCAAACACTCCACATCCTGGCGAGTTAAATACTTTCGTATTCTACGGATGTTATAAAGATGAAAGAAAGCAGAGCTACATGTCTTGTTAATATGCTGTGACATGTTTAATTTAGAATCAAACCAAGATCCCAAGTTTTTCGCTACAGAAGATGGCATAATTTGCCTGTCTCCCACTTGTAGACAATCGATGTTAACCTTTTCCAGCTGTTGCCTTGTGCCAATGATCATAAACTCGGTTTTCTCAGGATTAAGCTTAAGTTTTTGAGAGAGCATCCACTGATGTACCTCAGCAATACAAGCTTCCATTGCTCGAACAGCATTGGCTTCATCCAACATAGTTCCAGGTTTAAAGGATAAGTACAGTTGGGTATCGTCAGCAAAACAATGCGCGTTAGGTAAATGAGATTCGATAATTTTGAACAACTTACTTGTATATAGGATGAAAAGCAGTGGTCCCAAACATGATCCCTGTGGGACACCAAAACTCAGATCAAATTTTTTAGAGCAGACACCATCAATTACAACTTTTTGAGACCTGCCTGAAAGATAGGAAGAAAACCAAGAAAGTACTGTTCCAGAGATTCCAAAGTCCTCCTGTAGTCGCTTAAGAAGAATACTGTGGTCGACCGTGTCAAAGGCAGCACTGAGATCCAATAAAACAAGTAATGTAACCTCTTGGTTGTTCATATTCATTAAAATATCATTCTTTACTTTTAGTAGCGCCGTCTCTGTACTGTGATATTTCCGATAACTGGATTGACAAAGAGGAAACAAATCATTTGAAACTAGATAAGAATGTGTTTGGTTGAAAACAGCTTTTTCGGTCAACTTTAACACTAATTGTAAATTACTAATAGGCCTAAAATTTTCGAAAGCTAAATCCAGGCCAAACTTCAGTAACGGAATTATTAAAGCCTCTTTCCATTCATTAGGAAATAATCCTGATGACAAACAGTTATTAATAATAGATGTTAGTACTGGTAGCAACTCATCCAAACATTCCTTTACCATGCTAGTCGGGATAGGATCCAAGGAGCAAGATTTTGTGTTCGACTCTAAAACAAGGTGCTTGACAGCTTCCATCTCCAAAGGTTCAAATTTCTCAAATGATGATACACATGGGTCACCAAGATTGCTATAGGTACAATCATCTACACAAGCTAATTCCGCACGTAGGTTTGTAATCTTCCTTATAAAGAATGTTCCCATATCGTCAACAAAGCTTTCCATATTACAGTTAGGTGGAAAAACCATCTCGTTACTCTGATTGAAAAGTTTCCTCGTAATCGAAAATAATTTCCTTTGATTACCAGAGTTCTCACTAATTAAGTTACTATAGAATTCACTTCTTGCTCTGTTCATCAAATAGGTCGCCCGATTCTTTGCCCTCTTAAATCGCTGAAAATCCACATCAAGATTTGTAGTTCTCCATCTTCGTTCAGTTTTGCGCCGTTCCCTTTTTGCTTCACGAATGCCATTAGTAAACCAAGGAACCCGAGGTCTAACAACTACAGATCTAACTTGAACGGGTGCATGTCTGTCAAGCATTCTCTTTAGTGTGGTATTATAACTATGAGTTAGGTCATCAAGTTCCTCAGGAGGTTGCTGACATAAGTCAGACAAACGTAGGTCTTCTTTAAATAATCGCATATTTATACTCTTGAGTTTACGATTTGACATCGTGTTCCAGAGATGCTAGGCCTGGTTACATTTAGATCACATAAAACAGTGGAATTGTCAGACAAAAAACAATCAGACACAGGCAAACATTCAATAATGTTATTCATCTTACGTGTAATAATCAGATCCAGCGTGTGACCAGTTACCTGCGTGACCGAATGTACATGCTGCTCAAGATTTAAATAATCAAGTAGGTCTAAAAATGCTGAAGCAGGGACATCCAAAGAATTATCGACATGAAAATTGAACTCGCCAGTGATTAAGATAGGGTCCAAACACACTATTAATGATTCCACATAAGTAGCAAATTCATTAAGAAATGTATTCACACACGAAGAAGGAAGTCTATACACAACAGCTAATCGCATTCGCCAAGAGTTACTTGTAAACACGTACTCTCCAACTTCAAAGGATTCCCTTGAAATAACTTCAATTGTCTTTGCCGAAATATTATTCCGAAATACTAACGCGACACCACCTCCCCTACGATTAAGTTGCGAGTTCTCAAGTAATTTATAACCATTTGAAATACATCCAGCTCTAACAGCTGCATCAAATTCATTAAACCAAGTCTCTGTCAACGCAATTACATCAATACTCTTGGAGCTAATATACTCTACTAAGCAAGCAGTCTTATTTCTCACAGACTGACAGTTCCATAGACAAAACTTTTAATTACTGGCCCTGCGGGATTTTGTAGACAGTTAGATGGCGATCGATTCAGTTTATTTGTAATAAATTATTTCGGGCACGAATTGCCGGTCTCGCAATGATGGCTGGCCGTTTACGGATAATAACAGGTATCGACGATGTTGAAGGTATTCCTAGAGTGTTGTAGGTTCCAGCCAAACCCATGCCAAGCGAATTATAAGCATGAGAATTAACACCAAAGTATAAAGGCCAGCTTCCAACACAATTTCCAATGACATTATTAAAAGACGAAAGTCTCGAATAATTACAATCAAAATCACCAGACCGCAACGTCGAAGACGAACCACAAGTAAAATTGTGAACAATATTCAACTTCGCACGTACATAAGCGACATTATTTGGGCCCAGATTTCTTGAAATGTCCATACAAACAGTAAGATCCATAACGAAAGGCCGGGATGCCAAAACCAAACTAGTCGAACCATGTTTAGTAGACTTAATAACAGAATGCCGTGATCGATATTTGTTTGCTAAACCTCGCCAACGCCAACAATATACCACATGAAAGTTAGTGTTTGCAAAACTTATATTCAGCAAATGTTCAGAAGAACAACTTGGATGTACAGCTGGTCCAATCAGTCAAAAAATAGCAAACAATCCCCCAATATGCCTGACCACGATGGGAAGCGAACTTATGACCTTTGGAATACCAGCCCAATGCTCTGTCGATTCCCACCGTGGTCAGGCATATTCTTCAAACTTGTCCGATGTGGATATACACTCAGAGTAACATCACAAGCATCATATTCACCTGAGTACATTACACCAACGCAGAAATTCATTACTGAATATCTCCCAAATCACCTAATAAGTGCTTTGGGTTTGGGGCATCAACATATATTATTTGCAGTTGAAAGCAGTTCTTGACATTCGCCAACAGTGGATGTCAAATGCCGTAATTTGCCATAACATGTAATTCAAGCATTCAGTAGAATTCTCAGTTGCAATATCCGGGTGTCTTCAGTACTAGAATCCGAAGTATCAGAACTTTCAGAAGTAATTTTGTCAACTTGATCATCGCGATTCACGTTTCGTTACTGCTCTGGTGATGGATTATTAACCATTTCTTCATCATGTCATCTCATGCTGCTGCTAAATCTCTGACTGTGGATCGTTTTCACATGTCTGGCGAAATAGGGCCTCCTTGAATTCTATGGGTGTCTCAGGTTGATGCTCTTCATCCGATGACTGGTCAAACTGAGTGTCATTGGGAAGTGAACGTGATGTCGACTTTGCTTGTTCTTGTACATGAGATACAAAGAGTGTAGAAAGTGCAGATTGGTTAGATTTTCTACATACCGTGGTTGCGAGTGTGGTGACGTTGTAACAGGGGTGGCAAATGCGGCAGTGCTTACTGGTATAATCGTTATTGAACGTTGACCCACAAATTCCACACTTGACTTTGTAACATCTTCCAACAGGCATCTGGAAGTAACACATGGTTTAGCCTAGTGATCACTTAGTGCGGCTTGGCTGTTGAATTATTATTATTATTATTATTATTATTAAAGGTTTATTAAGAAACACATTTTGGCACCCGAAGGTAAATTGGAATATGCTTACAGAAACATAATAAAGGATGAATATCAAGTACTATTAAAATAGATATATCGTATACGTACAATTGTTAAAATACTACAAATTATTACTATTAAAATTTGTAGTCATTGCTGATATAAAACTAGTTTTAAAACGTTCCTTTCTGCATTTAGTTAATGTGAAGTTAGAATTGTTTCTTAAGTCCAGTTCATGCGATTCTTCACGGAGTGGGGGTAAGAGGTGGTTGAGGTGAGCATCGGGTTTTAAGATCTTTTTGAAAGTTTTAGCACATAGCTCTTGACGTCTGTCGTCAAGACGCTTGCATTTAGCGATGTTGAGAGCATCTTCGTAATCTGTTGTCGGATAAATAATACGGAAAGCTCTTTTTTGAACTTTTTCAATTTTATCCCCCAAACACTTTGGTAACATGGTGTGCCAGACAGGACAGGCATATTCTAAGATAGAGCGCACCATAGAAAAGTAGACTAATAAGAGGTCATTGGGGGGAAGACCACAGCGCTGTAGGACACGAATAGTGTATAAGCGTTTCGAGGCTTTTTTAACTAACGCTTCAGTGTTATCTTGCCATTTCAATTTATTTTCATAGTTAAGCCCAAAATTTTGAAAGAAGGAACCAAGTCTACAGGTAAACCATCAATGAGGAGTCGGGGGATGTCATTCTCGCTACGGACGAAACTCACTATCATTTCTTTGCATTTCTTTCCGTTCAATTTCATGTTGTTATTAACAGTCCATCTTTCAATTGTGTTAAGATCAGATTGTAGGACTGAAACTTCATTTTTCTTTAAGGACTCCGATATTGTTACGTCATCCACGTATTTCCAATGGTCAGTGCTAGAGGATGCCAGTTCAAGATCGTTGATCATAATTATGAATAAAATAGGGCCCAACTTAGTTCCTTGAGGGACACCTGCGTTATTGATTCCCCAATCAGATTAGATATTGTCGATCTTTACGGATTGACGGCGATTTGAGAGAAAGCTGCATATCCATGGAATAAGCGACAATCTGACGCCAAGGGCCAGTAACTTTGGGACCAGGATATTATGGTCGATGCGGTCGAAGGCTTTACTAAAATCGAGGAAAACGATCAGCAGATAGCTCGATTTATCATCCAATGTTCTTAGCCAATTGTTGACATATCGATAAAGCAAAACGTTTTAGAGGTTCCTTTAATTAAAGTGCACATGACATGAAATTGTCTATTTTCTTAAATGAAAGGACTCTTTAAGTTGTAGTGTAACTTATTTTTCAGTTTCTTGTTTTTATGGTTTGTTCCCGAGATACTTCAATTTGTTTTATATGTAAATCAGTTTGAATATGTCCGCTAAATTATGACGTCACTTTGGTTGCAAGCTCAACTTGCACTGTTTATAAATCTATTAACTCTAAAACCTGTACGTTTTTGTACAGTATTTCATAATATTTACCAGTGAGTGAAGTTTGAAATTATCATCTTGGATGATAGCAGTGATATTCAATCATATTAAAGAGCTTGCAACCAAAGTGACGTCATAAATTAGAGGACATATTCACACTCATTTACATATCAAATAAAATTGAAATATCTCGGGAACAAACAATAAAAACAAGAAACTGAAAATTAAGTTACAGTACAGATTAAAGCGTTCTTTCATTTAAGAAAATATACAATTTCATGTCATATGCACTTTAAGGCAACCAAAATGTTGCGGGTTGATTTTATGTTTCACGTCATCCACCATCCAATTGACCACAAAGTCCTCAAGAATTTTGGACAAAGAGGCTGTAAGGGAGATTGGGCGCAACTCCTCTTCACAGGAAACGGATGGCGCTTTAGGAATTGGTGTAATTAACGCATCTTTCCATATGTTAGGGAATTCACCAGTGGACAGAGATGTATTAAAGATGTGACATACAGGTTCGGCCAATTAATAATCCGGTTAGGAATATTGTCAGGATCGCTGGATTTGAAAACTTTTGTATTGAGCATCTTAGTGCAAACTTCGTCAGGGAAAATTTTTGGCACAGGCCTAGGTGCAGGGAGAAAGGCAGATAGCAGGAGAGGATTGAGTGGTGGTAGGTCATCACTCACGCTTTAAGAAATAGGTGTTAAGTGATTGGGCGAGATCTTTACCAGATAGAGTGGTATCATTCTTGACGATCTTAATGTTATTGGTTGCAGATCTTTTTTTCCCGGACATCTGGTTAACACAGTCCCACCATTTTCTGGAGTCACTGGATTTTAGGTGTTGTACCTTGTTCGTATAATATGCACGCTTTTTCACTCCTATGTCGTTTCGGACTTTAAGTCTATAGTGACGCCAGAGGTCAAGGTTACCTGAATGAAAGGCTTTTTGCCTTTGATAAATCAGTTTTTTTAATGCAGGCGTCATCCATGGTTTGTCAGAGTTATGAATTCTAATAACCTTAGACGGGAATAACCTATCAACAGCAGAATTTAACTCGTTGGTAAAGGAGGACGCTAGAGCGGTCGCAGAGTTTTTGCATCTTGGCATCTTTCCAACAACAAAAATATGAACAAAATAAATATAATAAACATTTAACAATTTGAATACTAACTAGTGACTACAGTTCATACAATGAGACAGTCAACTTCTGTGAAAATATAAACAACCACGCGATATTGACCATAGCTGACCCAATCACAGATCCAATTTAATAAATATATACTCGGAATATCATATTATACGTACATTTTGCATAAGAATTCCTTTAAAAAATTCGACAATATATAATAATTATTATATTATATATTTGAGGTAAAAATACCAAGTCCAAAATCACGAACAAATATACACCAAACTGTTCAGTGTTGACTCCTTAGAACTTGCAAATCATACTTTCCCAACATTACATAAGGCAACAGCACCTGTAATTTTCCATCAAAATGCTTCTTTAATACAATTTTTACTGTAAAGTCTGTAAAATACTCACAAATTTATATTAAAAATATAACAAAAAATTATCGAAGTAAACTAGAGCCCACTCC